AAATGATGTCGACTACGACGGTATGTGACTGCTCTTATTTATATTTACAAGCGAGATACAAGGGAGTGATATGTCATGCCCAAGTAAACGGTGCACGTTTAGTGTAGCTGAAGGAAGATCAGAGTGGGATGCAGACTAAGCAGTGTGTTTACGAGGCTTCACATTATTCGCTTTAGTGACTGATTTAGATCTTTCGCAGGTGCTATAAGCATCAGGAGAAATTATATGTTTTTTAGATGGCCTAGACATTATTGGAAGTAATGTAAATATAAAGTTTAATTAAGTGAACAACGATAGTTATAACTTAGCTTATTAGACCTGTAAAATTCTATGGTGGGATCAGATCCAGTATTAGTTAAGAGCAAATATACTAATGTTAATGAGCGAAAAGAGGTAGACAGCGTGAAAACTAGCGAAATTATTGTATGACGTTGAGTCCCAGAATGAGGTGTCAAGTTGGTAGAACCCCATTAGTGATGAATTATTTATCGCTAATAAATGTTAAATTAAAGGGAAAAACTAATATGAAAATGAAATAATACCACGTGAAAAAAAGTTACAACCTTCAAAAACGCGCGGCTCAGATTCATGTGTGTGAATTTGAGAGTGAATATCTTGATACTATAAATGACTCCACTCGGGTTACCGTAAATTGTGGATCACAAAATAACTTGGTGGTGGGATGCATATTCAAGTCACCACTATTGGATACTAGCTTTGATAAGTTGCCAATAATTCTTTTCATTGCTTCGCACCAACCGCATGTGTTTATAACCATCGGAGGTGATTTTAATCTGCAGAAAATATGAATTTTGATTTCAGTACCGGGTCTGTAGTTGTAACATTAGAACTTTGTGGATGGGTCCAACAAGTCTGAAAGCCAACTAAAAGGGATAGTATACTCGATTTATTATTCACAATCAACATAGACCTTATCTCAGTGCACGTCAGCTATGAACTTTCTATGAGTGATCACAGAGTCGTAGTGAGTATTATTCATTTTTTAAACACTATACCTTTGGACTGTAGAGCTGTAACAATGTACCAGGGCAGCTAGTTTTAATAACAATAATAATAATAATTTATTCTCAAATAACAGTTTGTTACATGAGGCATGCCAGTTTACAGGCAAGATCAAATTGTTACAAATGATACAACTTCCACTGTAGTAAATTAGTCAGCTGGGCCGAGTAATTTATAAGATATGAATGTAGATGGTTTTAGTCAGTATCACCGTTGGCGCGCTTCATGAAAGTTGCGTTGCGAATGTGCAACTGATGGTCAAGGATAGGTCCATTGAAGGTGGGAGCTTCTAGAAATCGCAACCTTTTGTCCCTCTGGAATAGCTGAGGCTTTAAGGATGGTGCAAGATGAAGTCACCCGTTCCATATCTGAAGGGGGCTGAAAGAGGGGGCAAGTAAAAAAAGGATGAGAGGCAGAGTAGCCAATATTCATGAAGGAATGCTTAAGGTATGGTTGCGCGCCCTCCTTCATCATTTATGAAGTGTAGTGGTAGGGAACTACCATTATTTTACTTAAAACTGTTCAACCTATCTATCGACTACGGACCCTATCCATCTGTATGGAAAACAACTGTTATCACCCCTAGTATCAAAACGGGATCGTGTGGCGATATTACTAACCATAGGCTCATTAACTTCACATCAGTGCAACCAACACCTATCGAAAAACATCCGCAAAATGCTATTAATATTTCTACTTTTGGCTAACCTGGTTATCCCATCTCAACACGGGTCTATGACTAAGCGCTCATACTTTGCATCGCACCTGGAATTTTTTGCTCAAATTACCCAGAGAAGAGATGTTGGGCAGTCAGTTATAATTCTGTACTTCGATTTTGATAAGGCATTCGACTGTGTCTCACACAAACTCATTGTTCTAACACTTCCCCTATTTGGCATACGGAATCCCCTTTTATCACGGCTCAATTTTTTTTAGCAGAACATAGCCAAATCGCCCGCTTTGGGTCTTGTTACTCTCGGCCTGTGAATGTAAACGGTGGGTTTATACAAGGAAGTGTGATTGGCCCATTACTGTTTCTTTTCATCAACGACGTGTGTTCACTCTTTCAATACTGTAAACCTTCATTTTTTTCCTATGACCTAAAACAGGTTTATTCACTAACTTCCCCCACCAAAGAAAGCTATATTTCAGCGGTATCCAAGAAGAAATAAAAAAGTTGTACGGATGGACTGTTCTGTGGAATCTGAATCTAAATGTTGACAAAAGTGGATTTATTTACATTACTTGCTACCTTAACCAAAATCTGGCTATACACAAACGTACACTGAAACTTCGCAACACTGTTTGTGACTTATGTTTGAGATATAGTAACAGTTTGAACCTTTCCGAGTACATTGCACCTCAAGTATCTAAGATTAAAAAGGTCCTTGGATTCATAATGACAAAATTCAACAACATCGAATTATTGTACAACAAAGTTCAACTCACCCATTCTTGAATATAGTGTTTTAGTTTGTAGTAACTGCAGGCATAACGACCTGATTAAAATTGAATGTGTTCAAAAGTTCAAAGTTCAACGGTATTTCTTATTCTTCGGCATTCACCCCTTCGTACTCTGTGGTATCAACCCACAACCCATGCAATAAGGAAAATATTCTAGCTATTCTGAGAGCCTACACAAACTTAAGCCAGAATTTTTTGGTTGAGCAGACTACCTGAGAACCTCCGTTGTGGTGAAACTACAACCCAGTTCAGAATTCGCCTTGATGATTCTGTTTCCAAAATTGGATAATGTCAACTATTGAATATTGTGTTTAACAATGATTCACGCGGTCAACTTTCGTCATCCATTCACTTGAATGAAGAGGAGAGTAGAACCTTTGAAACTTTGCTCGTCTATTTTATCTTGATTTCGTCCTATTCATCTTAATATCTGAAGTCCATTTATGTTCATTTCTGATTATTATTGTAATTTTTATCATGATTGGTGACTCAACACACTAGATATTCTTTTCGTCCCTTCTTATTCTTATAAATATATCTTATTTTAAAGCATCCAAGGTCCATAATTAAAAGCAACTCATCTTGTGTTGCACTTGAATAAATTAGCTCTTCAGATTCACATTATCTTCACCACGTATATATGACTCATACATGGTGACATTTGATTACCGATTGCAATTAATTGAGAGTTTCATAACATTACCACAAACTATTTCTGCAGAGACACTTACTCTACAGTCAGCTCTTACTACAATGATGATTTAGTTTCTTATTTAATTTTTTACTCCTTTCTTATCATTCGTTCGGCGGTACACACAAATCACTTATTCTCGTTTTGTGTTCACAACCATGCTTAATAAACTACCTATGTATTTCGCGTTTCGTTCATTTCTATTTCCTCATTTCCTTCCTTTCCTTGTTTAAGACCAACCTAATATTCTTCTCAATAAGGAAACCTATATTTCGGTGGAAACCAGCCGCTCTGAAACGAACCACACTTTCTATGTGATAACTGACTATACTACTTGACTGTTTAAATTAAAGCGAATACAACAGGGTTGGAAAAGCAAAGAGATGGCTAAATGTTGCAAGTTTTATTCGCCACAACAAAATCCAATCACTTCAGGCCATTCTTTTTTGACATTTTCAGCTATATCACTTTTAGCCCATGCTAATGCTAATCTTTATTTCTTATCTGATTCTGAATGAGTTTTGATTAGAAAACACTGAATTCTCTGTCTTCCACAAAGCGTCTCTACTCCCTTGTGTTTTTATTCATACGAAGCCAACAAAATCACTCTGTTATGGGCTTGATGGTTTCACGAACGCCTCAACGAGAACGTTTGTGCAGCTTATCGAAGGCGTTGCGTCGGTAATATTTCGGCACGATTGGGGGATCCTCGCCTCTAAATGTGTCACATAGTAAAGTTTCCTTACGCATCCCCATCTTTTTAATACGTAATTTTAGGGTCGCTGAAGATAACTCGTGCTGAAGTTAAATGTCCTCTTTTTGAAGCTGGGCGAGTTTAAGAAGGTCTATTCTCTGAAAGTTGTTCAAGGAAGTTGTAAGAGACTAAGCGTCTGCAACTAGATTGTTTTCCCCAGAAATGTGTCGAACATCTGACGTAAACTGCGAAATGTGGTCTACTTATCGAGACTGCCGAGGGGAGTACCTGTCAAATGATGAGTCTAAAGATAAGATAAGAAGTTTGTGACCGGTGAACAGAGTGAATTCCTGTCCTTCATTAATATTGAAAGTGACATACAACACAATACATAGCTAGTTCTCTTTCTGTAGAAGAACAGTTAACTGATGGTAAAACTCTTTCTTTACCGTATCTAGGCTTCAGTTTGTCAGATCGTAGGCGAAGTCGACGAAAAAAACTATTTACATCAATTTTTTCACACTTTAATGAAACTTTTTAGTCTAACATCACATAACCGACGTTTAATATGTATCCGATTGATCAGTGCTACCTCAGCCCTTGTGCTTAGTGCGACAGCGACGACATCAACGCCGGTGCGTACTGCCGAGAAGTTCCAGGTCTTTGATGGTGGTCTAACATCAATCGTTTCATGATCTCAATCAAAAACTTAATGATCTCCACAACCCTATACTGAAAAGTCACATGAATCAAAGCGCGTAAAGACGCCACAAGCATTCGGACGTTGACAACACCTTAACCAGTAACACCTTTAATAGAAGCGTATTTATCCAGTGAAGTCGGAGCTATTGACTTTGGGGATTTATCTACGGATACACACGTTAGAGATATGGTCTTTAAATTAAGAAAGCGACTTTCTGTTCAAAAGTGCAGAATCTACTATGAGGAGTTCGAACAGAAATATACACCTGCGAATAAGTACGAAACCTCGCGTTATATATCGAAAGTGTTTGCATCTGACCACAAAGTCGTTATTGTTTTGTTTAGTAAGCCAATATAACTGGTTTCTAGCTTATTGACCTTGAGAGGTTTCAAGTATTCTTCCAGGATATCACTGATTTCATCGAAATGTTAGAAATGTCTATAGAGGGATCTCAAAGATTTGCGCGTGGTGAAGAGCATGGCAGAGATTCAAAGGAAGTCGGTAACATGCTTTGTGAAATGACCACTGCCACAACAGAAAAAAATCAGTTTTATTTTGAAGCACTTCACATTCAAAGAGTGCATAAAGTTTGTTGCAGATCCACAGTATGCAACTGAAACCAAACCAAGTGATCGGTTTGTTTGCTTTCAATTTTAATTTGATGCTTGCAGTTGTTATTGCGGAGATTATAGACTTTACCACTATTTTCATGGTGAGGAATATGCTTACAAACGTTACTCTGTATAGAGCAGAAACGTTCAGAAACAGGCGATAAAGAATGGTCTGAGTCTGAATGTTTAGAAGTAGTTGGTCCGTCAAATGCTTTCGGACAGATAGAGTTCATAACAGAGTCTACTTCCAACCACAAGCCCACTGAGGTATGATTTGGTTTAATAAAGTAACTCCTCAGATTTTTGTGTAAAAATAATGTGTAGCACGCATAATGTGTGCAATGTTTTTTTTAATAGTTCGCAAATGCATAAAATTGATGAAATCATATGGGTTGTTTGGAACTAAAATCACTAGTAACTTTGTACAAATCATGGTGGCGTACCAGTCTTTAGTAATCAAAGTTTACGTTGAGAGAGAATTCGATGTTATAGTCTCGCGATTTCATGACGATTATACGATGAAAACCCGGTCTATGATTCATTTCAGAATACCTCCAGTTATCCTGAGGTAATACTCATTCCGCCCAGGTTTTTCCAAACACCTCAATTTTATCATGTGTATTTGCATTAATACTTGAGAAATAAATCATATTGTCGTGTTGTTCACATTATATTCATTGAAGTTTAACGGCTATATCTTTTAAATGTAAGGATTCTAATCGTCTACACAAGATATTTGATATAAATTTGATCTTGATCAAAGTCTTGTTCTCTTGCGTAAACTGAACATTTCTTACCAATCAAAATGTCAGTAGACAAGCCCTTTATGTCATAGAGCTCATTTTGAGCTTTGTAATTCACTTGGTATATCACACTAGACCAATCCGGTTTAAGCAGTAGGGGACATAACAGGTTTCTGTTTGTAAATGTACATAGTTGAGTTATGAACTTTAAAAAGGAACAGTGTAGAAAGATCATCATAATATCAATAGTTGTTAACTTGTTGTGGTGTTTAAAAGTTAGTTATTCAATGAGTTGTAGTTTTTCTGTCTGTAGATTCAGGGTAATGATGTGAAGTTTCAATGAATTTTGTGTGATATTTATCAGTTAGTTAGTTAACTATAGTTTTCCCAAGCTATAAACTTTACAATTCGTTGTTTGGCCGTAAATTTATAGCAATTTTGAATACATCTTACGGCGTACTTGCACGTATTCAAAAGGTTTTTCCGAGTAATGCAAATAAAGTTCCATCAACGGCAATTTATAATTTTCGAATTATAGAGTACTGAACACGGAGTTAATGCTAACTTTCATAATTCAAATCATTGCTGGTTACTTTCTAAATCAGATATAATCGTTCAGTCTTATCAAACTATCATTACATGACTGCCAAATGTCCGATGATGTTTTGTATATGGGCCTAATTATAAGCCATAAGTAGTATAAGACTATGAACTGATTAGTAAATATGTATATTCTGTTGTTAGGCTAAATTATTTTGCAGTTTACCTGTCGAATTTTCATGCATTATGATTTGAAATTAAAAGACGTATTATCAATAAAGCCATTTTCTACAAAACAGTCAAGATGCAGTAGCAAGTCTCTATAGGACCCTGATTGAAAACATGAACATATGTTCTTACCTAGTTAGTTTAGTTTTGAGATAATAATCACTTCGTGCTCCCAGTTTTCAGATGATACTTTAATATGCTGACGGGCATGAGAATTCTTAGTCAGTAATTATGTTACGAGCCGTTATAGACGAATCGCTTAGCATTGATTTGAAAGACATTTTATAGGTTAAATTTTCTATTAAATTATGCAACCATGGTTTCCTAATTTTACAAGTAGACTATCAAAAACAATCCCGAGTTTTCGTGGTAGTACATGATTTGTTTGATAGTGTTCAGTGACTAGTTGAGAATGGAAGTGATGAGTGTGGTCTAACTTACTCAAACGTAGCTTTACATTCAACTTAAAAAGGTGCCTTTAAACCATTTAATTGTTATCCGTGCAACAATTTCAGGCAGTAAGAAATACCATGAATGATTTGATACTGAAATCACGTCATTTACATATACGTGTACTAAAACACTGTACAGTACAGTGTATATATATCTTAGTAATCAGTATGGGGTTGTGGAGATTGTTGAGTTTGAATTGATATCATGAGTGGATCAGTTTTAGACGGCCATTGAAAACCTGGAAGCACTGGACGGTCGTTTTATCCTACTGTGGGACTCCTGAGCAGTGCATATCTACGATCCCGCTCCTGGAATTCGAACCCAGGGCCCTCAGTTTCGCGTGTGAACGCTTAACCTCTGGACGAATGACTCGGTATCCAACGGTGCTAACGTGTAACCCCAACCAATCCAGGATATCACGCGACCTTCCACCATTGTCTTCAGTGAGTAACTACCTCTCAAAGAACACACTTAAATTCTGCTGGCCACGGCTTCTCACTAAAACTCCAGCAAATTAATCTTGAAGCTAGTCACTAGTAAGCACATGACAGTTATCAGTATAGGGTCGTTGAGATTATTGAGTTTAGTAACACGGTTTTTGTGGAAAAGTTCATCAAAAGTGGTATAAAGAGGTGTTTAGGCAGAATCCAAGGAAATTTAGTTTATTAACGAAGGAGGTAATCATATGGTAGCCAATTATCGCTTCACATGACTGAGATATAATTCTGTTTTAGTCAAAGATATTTTACATTTAAAAGTGTTTTAACGAATACTTGCAGTAGAGAATTTATTTATTATTTCTATAATTTGTGTAATTCATGTCTGTGATTCAGTCAGTCAGTAACAACGTAACAACGTCTGTGATTAATTTTTTTTGTGTATAGGGTTTTAGGAATGGTATTCTAAGTAGGTAGATAAGTTTTACTAAAAAACAACAAAATCACACGAGTTAGTTCAGTTGTTTTAGTGACAGTATTTAGCATAAAATTTGGGCATCTAAAATGATGTATATAGAATTAAGATATTGTGCCCATACCTGTAAGAATGATGGATGTCTGATAGTAAGAAACCTTTTTCTCATTGATTATCTATAAAATTATAAGTCATAGTATTTGAAAATATTTAGAAAACCAGAAAAGGAATTCTACACTCCGTATTTAGACGTTGTAAGCTTTTTATTCCAGTGCTATTTGAATCCTAGCGCTTTTCGTTCCCAAGAATCTTTAGACAATTTCTTACGAATTTTTTTGTGAAAGCAAATTTCGCGAAAACACTACAAACCGAATAATGATTAGTTTTAGTAATTACAAATTTACTGTTGTACCCAAATATTTACTTATGTGACAACTAGAAGTGACAAAATTGGCAGATCATATTATCTGAGTACTACCAGTGGAAATACTTGTACTTCGTCACACCTAATGATTCTTTTTCTTGTATTTTTTAAATCATAGAACATAATTCAATTATAAACTAAAACAGTAGGCTATGCATTTAACTAGGTACCCGCATTACTACCACAAATTAAAAATTTAGTGGATACAGCGTTTAAGGTATGAATGACCTTATTAATTTTATTTTTCGTTTATTTATTTATACGCTCAGAAAAGCAGTCATGATAACCACTTAGTAAGGACTAACAAAGAAAACGAAATTGTCAAAAGTTGTTATTTTCAAAAATCCGAGATCTACTTAGTTACCAAGTCTTTTATTCTATAAACTTAGCTGTAGTTATGAAGTTAAATTTTGTCTCTTTGAAATGTTTTGATGCGTGTTGTCTTCTAGTTGCTTCTATTTTTTAACATGAAAACTTTTTCAATGAAAAAAACAAGGAAAGAGAAAAAGGATAGACTTTTGATAGGTATATTTTGACATCAAAGATTATATTTTTTGTTGTTTATACGTGATTCTGACGACAGCATTTTCCTTGTTGTGAACAGGAACTCAGGTGGGAAAAATTAATTTACACTTAAACGCAAAATTGCTCAGTGGCTTTGTCAATTGTAAAAATCATATGTTAAATACATTATTTGCACAGCTTCTTTGTGCTGTCCCTCACATACTCCACTATTCCTTTAATTATATTGTTATTTTGATCGCATTTCGATTTTTTTCTTGTTCTCTTCATTTTATGCTCCTGCTGCCATATATTTCACTTCCAATCGGTGCTAACTACTACTTATATCTGTCAACATAGGTAGCATACACTATACTCGGAATTGATCAATGTTATTGTTTTTTGATGTTTAGACGTATCAGCCAGTCATAGAAAACACTAGTTTATTTTATAGTATGAAGCACATGTCGGCTATCCTTTAAATTTCGACCTCATCCTCCGTAAATTACTTTTCAGTTTCAAAAGCGCATGATTTGTGATGAATATTCACATAAAAATACGACACTATAATCACTAACTGACAGTCATGTGGTCAATTGTGACTTCAAAGTGAATCTCCTTAAGTTCTGGCAGAAACCAACATCTGTAGAATTAACCAAACCAACAGTGAGACTTTAACGCGCTTAAAAAATTGAATGAGACCAGTACTGTATCATCTATTGGTTAAAATTCAAAATACAAACCACTGTTTCCCCACTTAGTCACTCAGCTGATTAGTGCATTTTACGAATTCCAAATGTCGTGAGTTCACGTTACTACAGAGTTCCAAACGTGAACAAAACAGTTGATTCAGTCCTTTCAATGTTTGCCTGATTCTCATCGGTTTGTCGTTACAACTATATAATTACTACTATTTTCATTATTATTGTTGGACAGTAAAACTACACACTTGTTCTCTATTATAAAATAACTAATGGCATAAGTCGTTACTAAGACACATAATAAATATTAACCACAGTGGAATCGTAGGTAGGTGAAAAACAAATTTTTATACTCAAAAATGTCATAAAAACACAAACATACAATTTGATTCACAAAAAATTACCTAATAATTTTATTACCATTCATTCAATTGATTGTAGCATTTAATCCTTTGAATGACAGTATGAAGTGTCAACAATGCATCAATGTTTAGTGGTTTTTTAAAATAAGATCTATTCATATTTATCAAAGATGAATAAACTTCTACACTTTTCCTAGATGTTTTAATTTTCCTAGACGAAGATCAATCTATACCTTACTCCCTATGTTTAAATTTTAAGCTAGTTTTAAGATGTTATGTAGGACGTTCTAATTAATTTTATTGAATAGATAAGAAAAAATATAAATCACAAACTTTTTCAGCAAATATGGATAATGCCTAGCAGAGGAACACAGGACGCGCGTTTCGTCCTGTTTGGGACTCGTCAGCTGAATGTACCTGCATCTCAGAGTTGATGTTCACCTCGGGACTCGAAACCAGTAACGTTCACTTCAGACGCTATCGCTTTATCCACTTAACTACTGAGTCCTGATAGCCAGCTGCTTGTGCAATGGAGTAAAGTTTAAATTCACTTGGTATTGCTTTACTTGTATCTTCTCATTGTTGTTGAGGACTGTAATTGATCAATCTTTTGTTGGCATATATGCATCCTGTGCGGATTGCCTTGATATAGCCACAAGTCCCAAGCTTTTTAAGTAAAGATGGATAGTGGCTAGCAATGGAATTCAGGACTTGCATTTCGTTCTATTTGGGTTGTGGAATTAAAGACAATGAATTGCTAGAACAACAATTAAATAATTGAAGCTGACTAGAATTATCAAAAAAGGTTCACGAATTTTTTGTCATTTGTTTATATATTTTTTTTATTAATTAATCGTTTTAGTTTGTACGTATCTCAGATGAAGATAAATTAGAAGATGTAATGATATTGATGAAAAATTACTGGAAAATGATGGAACCAGAAAAACCTAGTTTATGTATTTCTGTTATTGGTGGAGCAAAAAATTTTGTCCTTGAAGGACATAAAAAAGAAGTTTTTTATTCTGTTAGAAAATATTTATTTGTTTACTCATTTGTTACTTAAATTTTAATATGAATTATATACTGATATGAACAGTTTTTAATATTGGATTAATTAATTAAGGTTTAATAATGATTGATCATAATATATATATATATATATATATATATATATATATATATATATATATATTAGTGTTAAGATCATGTGTCAATTGAAGCTAGACCATCATGGAGAGCCTTGAAGGACTAGACGGTCGTTTCGTTCTACTGTGGGACTGCGCACTGCTGAGGAGTCCCACAAGAGAACTAAACGGCCATCTGATGCTTCAAGGCTTTCCATGTTGGTCTAGTTTCAATTGACTCATGATCTTAGCTATTAAAATTACTAAAATATCCACAAATCTCCTCCTGACATATATATATATATATATATATATATATATATATATATATATATATATATATATATATATCAACGAATGCAACTGTTTAAGACACTTGGTTGCCCAAGAATATTATATGAAACTGCTTGAAAATCCGAATTTAACGCTTAAAATGACAATGGAGGCTAAAAGCCTTGGTTATTATGAATTTAATCATGTTTCAACCATAATATTATAGATCGAATTAATTCTCTCATTGTCTATTAAATAACTAAGATACTGTACAGTGTAATTATAGGATTTTTAGTTTATGGAGAAGTTTAAATATTTAGATATACTCGTTAAGTTTTGTTTGCATATAATTTGATTCAAACAAATAAATCAGAAGTAAAACAAAAGAAACTTTAAATTTTACGGAAGAAGATAAAATTAACTCAACCTTATACGACTAATTTATTTCAATACGAACAGGATATATACATACAGGACACATACATTAACTAAAGAAAGCGTATTTGTTATAAGTATTATTACTATACGATAAAACTGAATAAACGAAAATTTAAAGAAACAAGACATTGGACATGCAGAATTTGAAATGGATTTTTTAAACCAGATATTTACAAAAAAACGGGTCACAGTACTTTTAACGAACCGTTTACTGAGTATCATCTTACATCTTTTCTATCTACCAAAGGGTTTAGTTCAAGCAGCACAAACAACTCGAGCTTGGATTGTAACATCAGGTTTAAATTTAGGAATTATACGAGTGGTTGGCGATGCATTGCAAGAACAATCATACAGTACGGACAAAAGAATGTTGTCTCAACAATTAAGATGTATTGGTATTGCTCCATGGGGTTATGTACTGAATCGTAATACTCTGGTCGCTAACAATTATGAAGTAGGCATCAAACAAAATTGTTGTGATTTCACGAGTGATTATTACGTTTTGTGTGCATGAGTAGTGTTGTTTTCAAACTATCAAATTTATTTCAACCAGTGAATTATTAATTTATTATTTCTTCAAAAAAACATGATATATCCGTAAAATGCTAACCATTATGAATAGTGTATTGTCCGGCAATCTAGAGTCCTTATCGGTCCTTTTTCTCGCATAGCCCTGCCCGTTGCGTCCAGAACACCAATCTTAGCATCTGCGATATGAATCATGTATTTCAAACGTATTGGGTTTATATACAAACCAAACGGACCACATCGTACTACAAAATAGAAAACAACATTTGTTCAAGATTTAGCCAAAAGTGGCTGTGACTGTGGGAGATAGTAATCAATAGACTGGCATAATTCAAGAACGGTAAATCGTATAATAATAATAATTCATAGGTCAAAATATAGCTCATGATAAGAGAAACACAAATGCGAATAGTTTAGTTAATTAATAATTACACAATAAAAATATATGTATAGTATTAGTCCAGAACTAGATTCCGACAGTTACCATTCATTATTCTCATCGGGATATAACACACTAACTTGCATTATTCAGTTCTTTGGTGACATTTGTTACAATGGTAATGGGCTAGTAATTCTGTTAAGACTGATCAATCAATATTATTTAATGTGCTCATTTTGCAAATTTGTGTATTTATTTGAATTATTATAGATTACAGTCGACATTTTTGTGCATCTCTACTGAGATTTATATATTTGACCACATAAGCAGGTAGTGTACTGTATTTTAATGATTTAAAATGTCGCAATTTTTATGAAGGTAGTCACATAAAACAAGAAATTGTGATCGAAACAAGGTAACTTAGATTATAACTATTCATCCAATTATATTAAAACAAAAAGAAGCCATAAGAACTGATAATGAACAGTTTGTATTTTACTGTTCTGAACTAGTGGTTCATCAATATTTTGTGAATTATGGGTAGAATGAAAAAAACTAATATTCAGCCTGGAAGAGTTATTAGCTTCCAAAATTGGTAATAAGTACAGCGAAATTGAAGCGTAGATAATAAACAGTTTATGCAAAAATGTCACAGGTTTCTTTGCTCATTTCTTATTAACACACTTCTTATAATGAATGGAAACTTTCTTTCATTGCATAAAAATTAGGATCATTTTCATCCGATACCTTATACAGTGTCCACCGTTATTGAAACAGGACAACCTGTTTCCTTAAATCAAAATCATACCCATTATATTTTTGTGGATGAAGGTAAACGTTTAAGATATGGTGGGTGTGAATCAGCTCGATTTCGTGCAAGGCTGGAAAAACAAATAGCTCTTCCAGAAGAAGGTTTGTAAATTTTACATTATTTTGTTTCGTTTCTTTTTCTCAGTACTTTATATGTGAGACTATTTTGATTAAAATCAGTAACGAATAGTTCTATTATATTCAGTGATTTATCAGAAAATCCATCAGTAGGTGGTAATATCAATCATTTAAACAAAACGTTACGAACAGGGGTAGCGTAATAATTATTTAGTTTTAATTAAAACAGTTTTAGTAGACTATGTAATTATAATTTGGTGCCTCAATAGAGTTTTAGTGAATATATCATCACCTATTGAAATCAGAAATAATACGATTTTTATTTTTATTTTGCCACTGGGTATGTATTGTAGAAACAGTATAATGAACTATCAGTACTCTGAAAATTGATCAACTTAATTCATTATCTAAAAGTACTTGATAACTCACCAATCTAACGCCTGTTGTTCTGATCACCACCAAAGTTTGATGATAACATCGACACTTGTATGTACATCCAGGTGACCAATTGTGAATATATCAGACCAAATGAATTAAATATCAGCGCAGTTAACTTCAAACATTTGTCTTACCTAATTTTGTGTGATTTGCAAATTCTTCCTTAATTTTATTTGTTGAGGTTTTCAAAATACTGACATAAAAATATCAAATAATTTTGGTGTTTCTTGAAAGTTCTTCATATTACACAATGGAATTCAGAATTATTTACCATTTAATAAACAAATGGGTTTAGAAAACAGACTAATCAGAAACTTGCTAAGGCGGTTGCAAGATTTTATTTGAAAGGTTAAGACCTCTTCTGGAACGATAACCACTTGCATACTTACTGCCAATTCCATTTCCCGCATGATCTTTGCCCTTTGATTGATTGTCATGTTTTTTTAGTTCGCTAATTTGCTACATGCTCGGAGGTCATTTTCTGCTACTATTGTAACAACTTTGTACCAACTTCATTTGAGTTGCTTGTTCTACTACAAATATCAAGTTATTTGCAGCTTCGTCTTCTTCCTGTTTTAGCCGTCGAGGTTCGATGTGTTGAGTATAATTGACCATTGTCAGTTCCGAAGAGAACCGATCGTATTAGAGAAGATCAATCGTTTTTGTTCTTAAACCCGTAACATCGTAGGCGGTAGTGAACCCCAATAATAAGACACAATAAGATTAAAGTATACATATTAAATCATTTGACAGAAACTGATAGAAGACATGTTGAATGGAGACGGTATGGTTTAAAAAGTAACAAAAAACATGGTTTCACAGTAACAGAATTAGTACAGCGAATGTTAAAATAATAAACTGTCAAGACATATTTTAGTTGTAGAGGTACTAAGAATGAATGATGAATAAAGTGAGAATTCCTCCAAATCAATTAAAACTTTAACAAGTATGTAATTTTTTAAAATTTTCTTGCATGTAAAGTGTATCTATTTATATTGACTTTGAGACTCAGACAGTTGTCATTTAAGTAACACTGATATAATGTACAAGGGGAAGTCTTGTGTTAAAAAACCATAGTTTTCTTCAGTATATCACGCATACGAGTGGTTGGGGTAGTTCGATTTTTAAAAGCAGTGTATAGGTCATTGTTTTTGAGTTCAAAATATACCAGTTTATTTAAATTAACTGTAAATATTGACCGATCTAAAATTAATGTATATCGGGATACTGATTATTTATCTATATATTCATCTGTATTGCTGTTAATTTTCAGCTGGTGGTTTTGGCATTCCGGTTGTCCTAGTAATTGTAGAAGGTGGTCATGATGTGTTTATTGATGCACGAAATAGTATTAAAGAACGTGTACCGGTTGTAATATGTTCTGGTACTGGGAGAGCAGCTGACATACTAGATATGGCATTTAATTTTCGACTTAAACATCAGTAAGATTTTTTTCCTTAAATCCTGTTTTTCTTGTGAAAATAAGAGAACAATTTCGTTATGATCAACAACTGAAAGAAAGTATCGTATTGCAACTAACGTTGAGGGATAAAATGCACTATTTTCTATGGTTGACAGAAAACAAACATCTACTATGAATATGTAGATCAAATTGCTCAGATAGATAAAACGCTTAAATATCATCCGTGATTGACTCGTTGCTTATTTGATCCTCATCAACTAGATTCACGAATATTGTAGAAGATATTAGTGTTTTTTTATTAATCCCCTCGCCCAGAATAAATTACTTTCACACTAAATGTTTGTCCAAATCGGCTTGCAGCAACAGATTGTACTCAGGATACTGTACCTTAAAAGTAGAATAGGTACACTAATTATGATTGAAACTTAATCATGTAACTGATTGATTGTGAACAAGATTTCGACTGCAAAGTTTACAAATTTCGGAACTGGAAAACTAAAGTCACTATAAATCTTTCATTGAAGTGATTTGAGATCAAAAGAAGTGCCAAATATGGCCAATCCACCAAATATTAAGAAAAATATCAATCAATAACATAATCTGAGATCGAAACTTTGATTGTAATTCAAGTGGAATTACGGATACTAAGTATGTATTATCTAGATGCATAAATGAACTTGTATAACATCGTGTTATCATACAATTAGTTATTTATTTTCTATTCTTTATTTAATTCTCATTAATTTATGAATTTAATTCAATAATTTAGTCAGTTTACATCATTTACCGAAAGAGAATGTTCAATACTAAGTCAAAAGTTGAAAATTGTTTCTGGTAAAAATAAAGTTGAAGCTGCATTGAAAATGATTCAACTGATTGTACAAGATACAAAACTAATTACAACTTTTGATATGAATAAATCAGATGATTTAGATTTAGCTATTCTATTTGCATTAATTAAAACTTCTTCAGAATTAGATAAACAATTAAGATTAGCATTAACATGGGATAGAAGTGATATTGCTGAAGCAAAATATTTCGTCAAGGAAAACAAGTTAAACCAGGTTAGTGAAGAGTTATTGCCATTATTATTTGACGTATTTATCACACACTTATGTCAGTAGTATGCCGTATTTGAAAGGATTTAGTATTGATCACTAAGTTTTAAACGTGATAAGCCAATCAAGATATCAATTCAACATAGTGTAAATGGCTTAGCTTTGGTTCTGCCATAAGTAATTCATATGAAATTCTTGTAGGGAAATATTTCTTTAGAAATTTAAAATGATCAATGTTTTTATTGACTGAACTCCGTTACGGATGATAATTATCTTTCCTTGTTGCATTTTTCATATATAGTGCTTAATTGAAATAGATTTCAGAATATTAAGCAGAAAATCTTTTTGCTAACTAAATATTAAGCTTCAGTAGATTTTTTGGGAGACGTTTTAAAATTTAGAGATTCAGGTGTATTAAAATGAAATGATGGCAGTCATGACAATAATGATACATTCAGTAGTGATAATATTGGAAAAGATTTACTGGATTTACACTATTTTCACGAATCATCAAGAAAAACTTTCTGAACCGTTTTGTATACAAATATTTCTGTTAATTCAATTGAAACTGCCTAATAAATGATTAAAAAGCCATACTAAAAATAGGCAGTAAACTGTAAATAAAATCATTGGTCTGAAATAATTGGATTGTGCTGTAGCAAATAAAACTTGCAACATACAGCCATTTAGTTGCTGTTTCAACTCTGTTGCATTCGCTTTAATTTAAACAGTCAAATGGTATAATCAGTTATCACATAGAAAGTGTGCTTGGTTTCAGAGTTGCCAAATCCAAGTGATAAAACGTTGCTTAATTAGAAAGTATTCATTAATTAATGCCATTGACCCTATCTTAATTTAATTAATTGACTTCGTGTGACTGAAAAATACTGAAGTGATCACGACTGTTTTCAGATCTGTTTGTCCCATAAGCTTACGACGTGATTGAGAAATACTAAGTTTTGTATATTTAACGAATCTATGTAAAGCGTCACAATTAAAAAAATTTGAACGAATAGTGTTTTTGTTTTGACTTACTTGAGCTGGTGGTCCCGTTACACTAACAAGTTGAAAACGATTTACTTGATATGATTACTAATTATGGTCAAAAGATTGTGGGGTTGAAATTATCTAATGACAAGTATTTACTTTCAGTTTGTTGGGTGATTTTAAGGTTTATAGATTTTATTTATCTATACGGTTAAAACTTAGCACTACTGAAATACACACTATTTTCATAGATCTATCTTTCCAGTAATCTGTTGTTGCTTGTTTTACAAATACTCTTACTATCACTACACTACAATACTATCACCAACCGATTAAAATGAGTTCTATAATCCTTATCATTATTTACCAATATTGTTATGTTACTGTTAAATTGAAATACTCATAAGCTATATATCTTTATTAGTAAATTTTGATCACCGTACCAGTTTAGTTTACTTGAACATCACTGTTTAATTCATTTGCGCTGAAATGATATTTTTTATCATCATTTGAATAAAATTCTATCTGGTTTCATCATCGTGTTGTTAAAGTTGCTATGTTTAAACATGTTTGTATCAACAGCTCCCAACATCAATACAGATCCAAACTATTTGAATTACTTTTTGAATTTAAGGATTGGAATTGAGTCATAAAGTTATCTCTCAGTTTGATCGTTTGCGCGTTACTTCATGAGTGACTGCCACTAAGTTAACTGATTTCGCAAAGATTTTGCAATAATCAAAACTCTCTTTACATTTCAGTCGTCAACTCTGCTGGAGTCGAGTTCTGTTATTTAGGTGCACAATTTTGCCTGATGTTCTTATTGTTTACAGTGACAAAGTATGCACTTTTTGATCTTGATAATAATTCTATATACTCCATAAGTTTATAACATTATAATCATTCTGTTTCATAATATTTTTTCATATACTTAATACTACTTTATCAGAAATTTTAGAACCAATTATGATGGAAGCTCTACTAAGAAATAAAACTGATTTTGTAAGAATTTTATTACAAAATGGTGTTGTAATGCGTCAGTTCCTGACATTTGAACGTTTACATCGTCTTTACAATGAATCAACGCAGTCAAATGATGTAATGCGATGTTTAAAAAATTATAAACTACTGACTGGTGAACATTTAACAGTATCCAGTACTAAACTCCATTTACCAGTTATGATGAATAATGAAATGACTGGTGAAACAGAACAATCATTCACACCTCCAAGTAGAATATATTTGTCTACTATATGCAAATTGTTACGTCGTATGCTTGGAAGGTATACCAATAAAATATATGATATGGACACAGAGGTATGTATATGTGGAAAATGTATATTGAGCAGAGTATAATTTAATCTGTTTGGTTATAAAAAATAGTAAATTATTAAAATAATACTACTCCCTATGAATAATGATCTGCGTCAGCTACTTTGGTCTATGTTTCATCAGACTGTACTGAATAAAACCTATGCCACAGCGTGAATATGAAAAGCGATCACATTTTATTGTATATAATTTTTTTTATTTGACTGGTTTTGCTAATCAATTCCTTATACATAGGTTTATTTTATGAAGATTTCGATATCTGAATTATTTAAATCTTGGTAACTTGTTCAGTCAGTTGTTTAATCAATAGACATTGGTTGATACTAAACTCGAAATACCAATGAATACCTTTTGACATTTGAACTGTTGACAGCTAGATTTTTGAATAGACGGAAACACCAGAACCGATATTTGTTCACATACAGCTGACGATTTCCAGGTAGCGTGGAAATCCCATCTTGAGTCCTATTCCTTTTAACAGCATGTTTCTAGGACGACCCTAAGTTATCTAGTTGTTGTCAGTAAATTTTAATTTCTTTCCTGTTGCGGCTAAACCGAATACATCTTTTCTTATTTATATTTTATCGCAACCTTCGCTATTTTCCAATCGGTTACGTTTAATTCTTATTTAATTTGTTCTGTATACAGAGTCATTCTACTATAACTTAGTCTTCGTTGAATATCAGGTTTTTTCTTCACTTCTATCTCCTCCCTGATTCCATCGTTTAGGGATACTTATTGAAGCGTTGGTAGATTCATTGATCGTACTGTGGAGTTCTCATTGGTCAGCGGTCGTATCAGACAAATCTCAGTCGTTCACAATCAGTAAACTACCTTAAGCTAACTGAATCATTTATCAAGACTTAAGAAACACATTTTGAATTTTATATTGTTACGACAATCCAAGCAGAAAATGAAAGTTCACCAGTTACTAATGACTTGTAGTGGATGAAGCATCACTAACAATATACATCAATAAGTTCTTTAGTACTAACTACCGTAACCGATAAGATAATTTGAACTTATTTGTAAGTTAAGCAGATACAAGAGACTCGAATGCAACAAGCGTCAATGATTATATTTCATTGCATTATTTCAGCGGTTTAGTAGTGATACAAGCGTAAAAGTTGTAGCCAAGATTTGTCTCTAATACTTAAAATAACAAAAACATGTCTTTTTAAATAAATTGGAAAAAAATTCTCACAAGCTTCCATTGCTAAAATGTGTTTCAAACTGTTTAAGCAGCCTATTAAATGAGACGTCGTATTATTTATTCTTTTATTCAGCTATTACATGGTCGAAGGGCTGACTGGAATCGAGTAAGTAAGCTAACGTTTGTTTCGCCATTTCAGGTGAGTTTAAGTTTGCTAATGAAGCAAACAACTTTTGTCTGGATTTCATGACTTATAGGTCAAAATAAAGCTTAGAAATAGAATGAAAAAAAATGCATTGGTCACAGTATCTATAAGTTATACAACAGAAATATAGTTTTTGATTGAGATCATGAACCAATTGATGTTAGACCACCTTTGGGAACCTGGAAGCACTGGAAGGCCGTTTCGTCTTATTGTGGGACTCCTCAGCAGTGCACATCCACGGTCCCGCTCGCGGGATTCGAATCCAGGGCCTTCGGTCTTGCGTGCGAACGCTTAACCTACAGGACCACTGAGCCGGCATCCAATGGTGATAGTGTCTAACATCAACCAATCCATGAAGTTGCGTGACCAACTTCCATTTTACTGAGGTAGATACCTGTCTCTATCTGACATGTATTAGCTCCACTGATCACGGCTTCTCATTAGAACTCCGAGAATTCCCTCACGAAGCTAGTCACTAGTGAGCACATGTTGATTACTAGTATAGGGGCTGTGGAGATCTCAATCAAAAACTTAATAATCTCCACAACCCCTATACTAGTAAAAATATAGTAGTATGAAGAGTCGGGAAGTGTCAAGCACCATCATACACCTAACAGCACCCGAGATCGTCTCGTTCACGACTGACTTTTGTTCTTAAACGGGATTTCACAATAATGTGTACTCGTTATTTCAACGAAGATTACAAACATAAACTTCAGATGTCACAATGATCCGTCAGGTCTGAGGGTAGTGGGCAATAATTTTAACTCAGAAGATTTTGATCAAGGATTCAACTTTATACATAATTATGAGCCCTGAATAAGGAAGAATGAGTTGTTCAGCGGTTCTTGATTTCCAGATGATGTCGGTTCATTGTAATATTTACTTTCAGTCAGTAACAGACAATAACTGAATATGGATTAATTAAACAAATAATAACATCCCTAGAAACTATTCACAGACCCACCAAACATAATTCTTATTGGTCGAAAATCACGAGAATACTCCTAATGACAAGGAACTAGAAGCAGCACTTAGGAAAACAAGTGATATAAAATTAGAGAAATGGTATCATTATGTCCGCTTTCAATGATAATTTCAAAGTTTAATGCTGAGAAGGGTGTCCAAATGTGTATTATATACACTGAATATAAGACCTACTTACGAGATTAACACAACTACAATGTAGGCCACATCCAGTCTGTATCCAGTACACCGGACATGCATCTGACCTGAGAATGCAGATTACCACAGAACATTCAAATTTCACTGTTTGATCTACCAATATTTGGTGAATAGATATTCACAATAAGGAACTTACTTACTTGGTAACGTCTGTTACCCCTAATAGAGAAATAAAGGCAGCTCACCAGCATCCTCCATCTAGCTCTGTCCTGGGCAATCCTTTCCAGTTCTTTCCGATTGCTATTCATTCCTTTCATGTCTTTTTCCAATTCTCAGCACACTGTGTTCTTTGGACTTCCTCATTTCCGTTTCCTTTCACGATTCTAAGTTAGCGCTTGCCTCGTGATGCAGTATGATAATCTCCTCAATATGTATCCTATCCACTTTCAACGTCTTTTCCTAATTTCTCTCCTACATTAGGCTGATGATGATGGTATTCGGCTAAAGGACATTGGGTATCTTGCGTAGACAACTATTTATAAATACATGTACCTTTTTGATGACGGTTGAAAACCTTCCCTGGTACTGACAGTAATGTGATGCCTGTGTAGTTCTCTCATTTGCTCAGATCTCGTTTCTTTGGTATCTTGATGAGTTATCCTTCTTTCCAGTCTGTCAGTGGCACTTGTTCTTCCTCCCAAATCTTCCTGAATAGAACGTGAAGCAGGTTTGTAGTTGCTTCCATGTCTGACTTCAGTGCCTCGGCTGGTATATTATCAGGTCCTGCTGCACTCCCACTCTCGATTTGTCCGATGACCGGCCATCCTGACTTCTTCCACCGTTGGTGGGCGACGTCTATAGGAATGTCTGTATATACCGCCTCGATATCCTGTGGATTCAATGAAGCTGGTCCATCCGAGAGTTCCTCTAAGTGTTCCACCCATCTGTTCCTCCATTCTTGAACTTCAGTGATTGGTTTGCCCTCTTTGTCCTTGACTGGTTTCTCTAGTTTTCTACGTTTCCCTGCCAGTTTCTTCATCGTGTCACATAGTTTGTTCATATTTCCTTCCATTGCGGCTTTTCCACTGTCATTGGTAACTCTTCCATGTATTTCTGCTTGTCGGCTCTAATGCTTTCATTCACTAGCTTGTTAGCTTCTTTGTATCCAGCTTGTACTTGACTTTCTCTGTCCTTGTTCGGCTGTTGTTAATTGCTGTTTTCTTGTTCTTCCTTTATTGAATCTTCTCCAGGGTTTCTACAGAGATCCATTCCTTATGATGATGCTTATTGCAGGCCAGCACCTACTGACACGTTGAAGTTAGTGCTTCTTTGATCCTTTTCCAGCTGTCCTCTATAGTAGTTTCCTCTTCTTTAAGTGGGTCTTGTAATTCTTGGAATCTGTTGTTGAGATTTATCTTGAATTGGTTGAGTTTGTCAGTATGTCGAAGAAGGGCTGTATTGAACCTTTGTGATGATGTTTGCCCAGTTGTCTAGTGACGGTAAAGAACACTACATAATTAATAGAATGAAAGTAAGAAACCTTTTCATCTAAATTAAATACAGATTGTAGATTGGTTTGCGATTTAGAGCTGACATCTGGGAGGCGGTGCTTATTTAAATAACCTTGTTGCAAATGTTTTCTCTTTCACTTAAGGAATTGTTTTTGTGGGCTATACTTTATCAACGTCATAAAATGGCTTTATATTTTTGGGAACGAAGTGAAGATTCCTTGACACTAGCTTTGATTGCTTGTTGTCTGTATACAGATATGAGTAAACTGTTACCAACTTATGATACAGAAGGCAAAACGAAGTATGAAACTTATGTGGAAGAATTTGAAAGTTTAGCGATTGATGTATTAGAGGAGTGCAATGGAATTGACCCGGTTAGTTTATTTTAATGGTAAAAATAGATAGATTTATGAATTGTTGTTAATATTGCCATTGAATTTGACAACGTCACGAAAACCTTTTCTTTAAAATGTATTGTTAATTGTCAGTCGTAAAGATCTAACTACAAAAACGTTAACCAGTTGTAGTCAGTTGAAGTATGCTTATTTGTTTAGATTGATTTGTTTTGCTACTTAATATCAGTAAGTAGTCAAAGTGCCCCAATAAATAAATATATAATTTTGCTATTCAAATACCAGGAATTCACATTGTATTTGGTTGAAGGTGAATCATCATTATGGGGTGGTTTCAATTGTCTTCAACTTGCCGCTCAATCTGTTCGACGTAAATTTATTAGTTCTCAAGCCTGTCAAAACTCTTTGGATTTCGCATGGTGTCATGGTATGCGTGCCAATATGTTGATAACGTCTGCCATCTTGATTTTACCATTTTTATTGTACTTCGATCATATTTTGTCATGGGAAGATAAACGTCCACATGTCAGTGTAAATTATAATCATCGAGGTGTAACTAGATCTACTGAAAATGCAGGTGATGTGCTGGATCAAGAGAGTATTTCTAATCAACATTTCAAACATTCAGCACCTGTTCAAAGAAATTTTAAAGAAAAAATTAAAATGTTTTATACTGCACCAAAAACCAAATTTTGTCTTTACACGGTAGGTGTTTAGTGTTTATTGATCTAAAGCATTAGAATGTAATTTGAAATATTCGAGGACATTTTGATAAATTTTGATACATTTACTCTTTTGCAAACCTGTTTAAATACTTTGACTAAATATGACAAAAACTCGTACTTTCTATTTTGTATCTTTCTTTTCTCATCTGTTAATGGTCCTAAATTTTGATGCTATTAAATACTTTGATTGATCTACTAAGCTATCAAAGCCACGAACCGTATGATATTCTGCACTTAACCAAATGGAATCTTTTCTACATTCTTAAATACTAACCCATAACTCATTTCTTCACCAATGAATTACTCTCGCTAAAGATTTAGGTATTGACAAACATACTAAGATAGTTAAGTTTCACAGTGTAAAATTTTAGTCTCTAGGCATTTTTGTACTAATAGTTTCGTCATATAAGTACATGTACATAAGGTCACACTGCTGTAAAAGTTGAACCTTAACAAGTTTAGAAAATGATCAATGCTAAACTTCTGATTCTACTGATTTCATAGTCTGTTACCGTAAAGTCGAACAGTTTATCCTTTCTTTTACATAGATGAAATATTTTAATCGTTCCACTTATTGTCATTTACACATGTAACCAGGAAATGTGTGTATAATAGTATGTATGCGTCTATATGCCTACTCGTATCTTTCATATCTATAATGTTGAGTCAAGTTTTACTTAAATAGAGCAGGTACTTTTACTTTTTCCAAATCTGTCATCGTCTTTCTTGATAAAAGAATGTCTGAAATAAATTCTTCTGACTTGATTTGTGTTCGGCTTTTTATTATTGCCGTCACTCAGGCGGAGTTGGTCTGAGTAAAGCATAACAAAATCAAACGAAGAAATTATGTTGATGGTTTATTCCTCGTTCGTTTCTTCACCATTCGTTATGGAGTTAAGTCGTTTCCATAAAATTGTAAATAATATCTATTCTTCCTTAACTTGAAATTATAGTAACTTGTGTGTTATTTATATAATGGTCAACAATTAACCTAGATAATTATATCGCCTTGAAGTTTTTTTGCCTATGTAACAGTCATCTTTGGTGAGAATTGATTATCTTAAATCAAATTTAAATAATTAATTCATCAAAGTAGTTCAGCGTTTGGAAACTGTTGAATAGAAAAAATATATCATAAGTTATATGAATTGTTTCATGATGGCCTGAGATATAACGAAATTGTTTCGTGATTTAGTTTCACCGGTTGTCAGATTGGTTGATGCTGATTAATATTGATTAAACACATAGACCAATACATCTCACCACAGTAGTAAGAGGATAAACCAAAATATCCATAGCAGTGGTAAGGCGTCCCTAGAGTAGAATGGAATAACTATTATTTCTTCATGGTTTTCAACGATTCACCAGTTGATAGCAACCTGAAAGGTTTGTTAAGTTGGAAAATGGTTAGATATTGTAATTTTTTAAGAATACGTCTGATTATCTTTCGGAAAAATCTTATTTATTCTAACTACTGTTGCATTTTATACTTTTTTTCAAATTATAGATGGTCTATGTGATATTTCTGCTATTCTTTTCGTACACTTTATTATTCAGTACTATACCGGATCAAATCACTATACATGAAGGTTTTATAATGGCCTATTTTATAGCTATGATAATAGATATAATTAGACAGGTAAATGTAACCAAACAAAGTTACTAATTTACTCGTTAATTCTCATTATTTTAAAGACGTATAAATTGTTCGCAGTTACATTTTCCTACAAGGATAATCATAAGACATATAACATGTAGTCCTGATACCGGTGAATATTCTTCATTGTGATTTATTTAGTATGATCTGAGACCGAAAATCACTGGAGAGCTAATAATGAAGGTATTTGTATGTACATATATTTGGATAAACAGGCATAATATAATGAAGAATAAATCGTTTATAAGCGTACTGAAATTCTCTATAAGATTTGTTTGTTTAATGTCAAACTATGTCCGATAGAAATACTGATCTATAATTAACATACGTACATGGAACGTCCAGACAATGTGTGACACCGGGAGGACCAGTCAAACACAATTTAGCAGTACTCGAAATCAGCGAAACCCATTAGACCCAAGCTGGACAGCAAAGGCTAGATACAGAAGAAATGCTGCTGTACTCCGAATACGAAGAGAGAAATACTCCACACACTCAGGAAGTCACTCTAATGCTGTCCAAAGAAACACGTAAAGCACTTAAAGGATGGGAATGTCATGGATCCAGGATCATCAAAGTATCCTTCAAAACAAATAGGGAGGGAATTACAATGAATGTTATCCAATTTTACGCACACAGCAATGATAGCAATGACGACGACAAAGATCAGTTCTATGGGAGGCTACAGTCGATCACAGCGAAGTGCCCATGAAAGGAAATGATAATCCTAATGGGAGATCTAAATGCCAAAGTCGGAATGGACAACAATGGTTATGAAGATATCATGCGACGACGAGAAACGAAAATGGGGAAAAATTTGCAAATCTGTCGGGACCCTAGAGAAGATTCAATAAAGGAAGAACAAGAAAACAGCAATTAACAACAGCCGAACAAGGACAGAGAAAGTCAAGTACAAGCTGGATACAAAGAAGCTAACAAGCTAGTGAATGGAAGCATTAGAGCCGACAAGCAGAAATACATGGAAGAGTTACCAATGACAGTGGAAAAGCCGCAATGGAAGGAAATATGAACAAACTATGTGACACGATGAAGAAACTGGCAGGGAAACGTAGAAAACTAGAGAAACCAGTCAAGGACAAAGAGGGCAAACCAATCACTGAAGTTCAAGAATGGAGGAACAGATGGGTGGAACACTTAGAGGAACTCTCGGATGGACCAGCTTCATTGAATCCACAGGATATCGAGGCGGTATATACAGACATTCCTATAGACGTCGCCCACCAACGGTGGAAGAAGTCAGGATGGCCGGTCATCGGACAAATCGAGAGTGGGAGTGCAGCAGGACCTGATAATATACCAGCCGAGGCACTGAAGTCAGACATGGAAGCAACTACAAACCTGCTTCACGTTCTATTCAGGAAGATTTGGGAGGAAGAACAAGTGCCACTGACAGACTGGAAAGAAGGATAACTCATCAAGATACCAAAGAAACGAGATCTGAGCAAATGAGAGAACTACACAGGCATCACATTACTGTCAGTACCAGGGAAGGTTTTCAACCGTCATCAAAAAGGTACATGTATTTATAAATAGTTGTCTACGCAAGATACCCAATGTCCTTTAGCCGAATACCATCATCATCAGCCTAATGTAGGAGAGAAATTAGGAAAAGACGTTGAAAGTGGATAGGATACATATTGAGGAGATTATCATACTGCATCACGAGGCAAGCGCTAACTTAGAATCGTGAAAGGAAACGGAAATGAGGAAGTCCAAAGAACACAGTGTGCTGAGAATTGGAAAAAGACATGAAAGGAATGAATAGCAATCGGAAAGAACTGGAAAGGATTGCCCAGGACAGAGCTAGATGGAGGATGCTGGTGAGCTGCCTTTACTTTTCCATAGGGGGTAATATTCGTAAGTATGCAAGGAAATGCGAGTATGCATTTCCACATGAACCTATAACACGATCATGATGTGAGTTTGTTACTTTAAAAAATATCGACTATCACTCTAAACTCTGTATGGCTATTTTGTTGGTTTATTTAAACTTCACTGGATGTATAATCATATTTTTCTCATTATAGATATTTTTATCACCTGGTGATGGGCCTAAAAAGATAGCAACTTGGTGGGATCAATACGAATGGGGTCGGTCGGAACTCTTCGTTATTTTGCTAGCACTTTTAAGCATGTTTCTACGTATTGGATTGGATACAACATTTATTTATTCTAAAACATTTTATGTGTTAACATGTAAGTTTCTTTTTTAAATGAACCATTACTTCATTAAACATATGTTGTTAACAAGTATGACATTAGTATGTATTGTGTTAATCCCTAGTCACTGGACAATGGTCAATCATTTATTAACCGATGTTGAATAATATTTAGCGAAATTCGATTACGTTTGTTGTATAAATGTTATTCACCTTTTGAACCATAAATTTCCACTCTAATTGTTAAGTGATTTTTCTATAGAAGAATTTTATGTTAAATACTACATTAAAAAGGATGAAATGTTGTACAATATTATTTCACAGTTAAATTAAATAGATATATTTTTAAAAAATACTAATTAGATTAAAGATAACTTATGATCTTTATCAATAATTGAACTCCAGGAAATACCTCTTGAAGCCAGTCACTAGTGAGCATATGTTGATTAATATCAGAAGCACTGACCAATGGAGTTCAACCGGGTCTGTTGTTGTTATAACCTGTCGTTTGAATGCTTATTGTCTTGGCTCTTTTGATGCAACTTTTTGTATTTGGTCGTCGCCGATTGTTATGTCGGAAACGCTTATCACTTATACTCGGAACGAGGGAATTCTGGAATTCCCACGACGTGAAAGTAAGAACACAAAGACTGGTATAAGTGATGATTTATTAACCCAAAACACGACGACGACGATTCTAGTAGAAAATACAGTCATTTATATATTGATCGTACATCCATTTTGATTTATAATTAGGAAGAAATTAAATATATGCAAAATACTTAGAGTTATAACAAGTCACATACTGAGCATAATTCATGTCAATGGAATACAAGAATATCGCATATTATACAGAATAAAATATCATACGAGAAAAGAAAACAAATACTACATTGAGTAATCATTACATTGAATCAAAACGGAAGTAATCTTCAACAAAACTTATAATGAGTAAATCAATCGAAAATTGACTTTTCTTTCCATCATATCAGTTGTGTGATAGTAACTCACTGAAGTCAATGGTGGATGTGTCACTCAATTTTGTGGATTAGTTGAAGTTAGACATTAACACCATTGGATGCCGGTCAGCTCAGTGGTTTAGAGGTTAAGCGTTCACGCACGATACCGACAGGTCTTGGATTCGGATCTCGCGAGGCGGGATCGTGGATGCGCGCTGCTGAAGAGTCCCACAACAGAACGAAACGTCCGTCCAGTGCTTCCAGGTTTTCCATGGTGGTCTAGCTTAAATTGACTCATGATCTCAACTATTAAAATTACCATAATATTCACAAAACCCCTTCTGAAAATAATTAATCAATCAAATTAATTGTTTTCTTATATTTGTTCTAATTTTGTACAAACTAAACTTAATGGCACCATTTTTCAGGTACTTTTCTGTTATAATAATGTTTATAATGAACATCCATATGTTTGTATGCATCATTTCTTCAGGTTTGACTTGACGTTCAAATAAACTAAGTAATAAGTAGATTGATTCTCAAAATAGAATTAATGTTGCATTTCTATTATCTGAATTCAATACAACCCAATAGGATATTAGAAATATATAATTATTAGTTGTTTTTAATTTGATAATTTTCATCCATTTGTTTGTTGAAATAACTTTATGATAAAATTTGCAATTTATCTAACTCATTTATAATTCATTCATTTCATTAATATTTATTTTCTTATTATAAATACAATCAGTAATTACATGCTACATTCGCTTATATGGTTTATATTCTTATCATCCGAATTTGGGTCCGAAACTAGTCATGATAAGGAGTATGCTTGAAGAATTGATTTCATTTATATTCATATTGATTGTTGTCTTCTTAGCTTATGGAATTTCTTTACATGTCTTACTCTATCCTTATCGTCATGAATTTTCATGGAGCGATGTTCGTGATGTTCTGTATTATCCATATTGGAATTTGTATGGTGAATTATCATTAGATTATACTTTTGGTAAGTTTCTAAACCATTTTGCATCGATGTAAGTAATTTATCAAATACAGATTTGTACATTCAGCTTTCAAGTGAATTTCAGGCATGAGAGTTTATTAATACTACTTTACTGTTCTAACAGGAATAAGTTGAAGAGGGTTCGAACTTGCAAGTTATTGGTTGAAGATTGAATGTACTTACCATTAAGCCATCAGTCTGTTAAATATGTAATCTTATTGAATTATAAAATAATATGTCAGCAGACAATGTTAAAATTATTCAAAATGATTTTTAGATAAATCATGGAGATAAGGTGTATAACTTAATTATTGATTAATATGTCGTGATTCGACAGCATTATTACGTCTCAAAATGATGTAATAAAATATTTGTTATAATAAAAGTGGGAGAAACAATACTTTTAATCATGGAGGCTAATTTCGAATTACAATAAATAAATTGTAAAATACTGAATCACTGATCAATGAAACTAATGTGTTTAGAAACTCACAATTAAGGATATAAGTAAAGGTAATAACTAACCAACGACCTTTCGCTCTTTTCTTCGTGAAAAACAGTAAACTTAACAATTTCTAGTTTAACTCATAAGAATTCACACAATTTATTAAGAATAAATATATAACATATTCAATAAGAAAAATTAGTTCAGCGAAGAGTTCTCTTTTCGGCGAATTCATTTTCAAAGCTGTGCAGTCGTTTTCAAAATGAAGTTGCCGAAAAGAGAACTCTTCGCTGAACTAATCTTTCTTATTTAATGTCTTAATGGGTGTATTCCGTTTATATATTAAATTACCATAATGTATCAAAAATTTCGTGAATGATGAAAGTCAAAAGTGTGATTTCGAACCTAAAATGGAGTAAACACTTTGACACCAAAGGAACATGATGTATTGCAAAGTTAAGAGTTGGATTTTGGTCTTGACTTTAGATAAACTAATATTAGTGATATGGAGAGTAATAGCTTCATCAACTAGAGTGCAAATGACATATGAAACTGTCTTTTTTCCAATCGTCTCTAACATGTATTCACGTTTTAAGAAGAATTATGGATGCTTTATTATGTAATATAGCAAATTTGTTCACACAGTGAGTATTGAGTAATTGTTTTTTAATACAATTCACTTCAATTTATTCGAATCTGACAATTAATATAACTGCAAATAAATCATATAAAATGTGATGTATTCTTACATCATTTTGATTTATTATGAGAGTCAAATAAATCCTTATCACCAATCTTCGACCTATTTCTCTTGTGTTCAAGTTGCCTAGTAGGTTCAGCAACTAAGCTGTTTGTTTTATGATATCAGTATTTTTTTTAAAACATAAACACTTTGATGGTTTGACTTAAAATAGAGGATACCCTGTTATTTCAAATGGAAGTTGCAGATTTACTTACAAATATCTTACATTTGCTACAGTTCTGTCTAATGGATTCCTGTAAAATAGGTAAATCCTATTTATTATATTTGACAGAAATATTGTCCATTTTCAACTTCTTATGAATAAATAAGAGGATTTTGTAGTTTGTCGACCTATTTGATGTCTAGTGTTTTGTTCAAACGAGTGTATTTTTGTAAGTATTATCTTTAAATGTGTACTTAACTAATCTACTAAGACTTGAAAACATAAACGTATGCTTTCAGTATTCATTTCTTTGAATTAAACTGATAACTGTTGATTTCGGTTTTCACTAGCTAAGAATGATACTTGTGGAACCAATGCAGATGGAATAAATTGTCCGAAGTATCACTTCTTGTGTCCTCTGTTTCTGGCTATGTATCTAATGATTGCTGGGACTCTGCTTATTAATCTGTTAATCGCTATTTTCAGGTATTGTTTATTTATTATAAATAATCAATGTCTAAGATTAATTAACACACAGTCAATTCCATATGGTGCAAAAAAGTATTAAATATTTTAATGAATGTTTAGATTCAAGCAATCAGTTATTTTGAACTCTGTTTTTCTAACTAAAATGTCAACTTTTCTATAAATGAAAGTAAAATGAGTTGTGAACTTTTCATTTCACCAATGATTTATAAACAATGAGCTCTTACATTTTTTTGGTAAAATAAAATGACTTATAGGTTCTGATTTTCAGTTTGATTCTTGTTTGACTTGTATAAATTAGGAATGGAAAAGATTCTAATAAGCGATGACCAATAAAATTGATATACAACACAGTTCAAGAAAAAATCATTTTGATGATGATAATGGAAAAATCAGAAAATCATTAAGAAAATAGAGCTGAAAATTGTGTGATAACGAAAAGTAGACAAGATAATAAGATGTTAAATGATTAATGTACGATAAAGAGTTGATGTCAGTAAGATATGAATAAAACTACAAGTGGTTTCAGCTCAAAAGGTGGCGAAGTGAGAGATACCTTATCAAGATATCAAAGAAGGGAGATATTGGTCAGTATGAAAACTGCTTAAGAATCAAATTTCTGTAAGTACTAGGAAAAGGTTTTAGCAGTATAGCTGAACCACATGTAAGATTCAGGAGACGCTCAACTTGGTGAACAGAAAACTGCGTTCCATAAGGACATATCGTGTACCGATCAAATTACGACGCCATGAGTCATTATTAAACAATCAGTTGGATGAAACTCATCATTGTGCATTAACTTCCTTGTTTATGAGATAACATTCGGTAGTGTGGACAGGAAAAATATATAGAACACTACGTAGTACCTGTGAATATTTCCGCCATCATAAGAAACTTCTAAAAGGAGCTAAGTTGCAAATCTTTTCTAGAGGGCAGCTCACAAATGCATTCTGGTCGAGGACTGGTACTAGGCAAGACTACCTACTCTCTCTGTTTATTTTTTTAGCATCTGAATAGATTATGAAGACCTTCACATTTCAGAAGAAGTGTGTAATTTAGTGGACGTCTTGGACACAACTAGATGAATTAAAATTTGCAGACGACCTAGTCCTTCAAACTCATGCGCAGCAAATGGGCAACATCATTGGTAAACAGAGAGGGTCTGATGAATAGGTGAAGCGAGAACAGCATTACTACAATTGAGCAACGTGTGGAACTCAGAAGAAATGTTATCCATGATGTAAGTCAGAAGTTTCAACGGCTCTGCAACTTGGAGAACCACTATCAACAATAAAGTACAGGTACTCATAAATGATTGTCTACGCAGGATATGGAAGATCCGTCGGTCATAGACCATCAGCAATAACCTAATATAGCACAATTCAAACCAGCAGTGGAAGAAACTAAGAAAAGACTAAAGTTTTTATGGAACACACTATGTGGACACAATCAAACTGCGCCACAAGGCAAGCCCTAACTTAGAATCCTCGAGGTTGGAGGATAAGAGATGGGTTGAATAAAACATGGCGTTAGGAGTCCCAGGCAGACATCAAGACTGTAGATACCACTTGTCAACAGCTGAAAAAAGGCCGTGTTAACGGCGCTTGGAGATCGTCTATGGCTTTAGAGGAATAATAAACTTAAATAAGTTTGACATAAAGAGTCAAGCTACTAAACCTCATTACAAATAATTCTTTTATTCTGTAAACGGCAGTTTAGAATGTTAAATATAATGTGAAGAATCAGAATACTGACTTACACAGTCTTGATATCTGTCCCTTGTTTATTTGAAATTAGATAATATAACACCCTAACTGTCATATATTACTCAATCGTCAGATTTCATCATATGACGTTTATTTGTGTTTTTCACTACATTCCATCATTTTTTTCATGTAACAGTAACGTTTTTAACGAAATTGAATTTCATTCGATTGAATTATGGAAGTATAATATGTTCTTTATGGTTGTTGAATTTAATAAGAAACCGATTGTCCCAGTACCATTATCAGCAGTTCAAGCTTTAATAGAACTTATTCTATATTGTACCAAAATGTCAAAAGTAAGCAGAAAGAATGTAAAAAGTAAGTAGCTAATTTACAAAAATTACGTGAACTTATGGTTATATCATTGTATTGGTGTAAATGTTAATTACTCTTGTATTCCATTATGATGCTAGAAATTTCTCTACTGTGAATTGGAGCAACATATGTAAGGGGATCCTATTACATTTAAGGTATTCGAAGAGTTCTTGAAGTTTCATGGCCATTGCACAAAAGCGAAAACGTCTTCAGAATTCATTTCATTATCATTGAAAGCAGTACCCTATGAGTAATAAAACATTTAGAAGTTCCATTTGTTCAAGTTGTGGTTGTTTAACTCAAGTTTTAATATAGAATTAATTTGAAGTGGATACAGAAAAACAGAATCAAAGTTAGACGAGAATAAAATACTAACAAAGCTTTAGTTTGATATTTCATTGATAAGATTATACGAAATTATACATTTTTATTGAATTTCATGGAGATGGTAGGAATCTGGAGACAGAATAAATAAGATAGTGTATTTTATCTTCTTGAAAAGAGAGTAAATATCATTTCAACTCTTCAATAAGAGTCAAAAGCGGTAAACCTCTTTGCCTGGAACAAGGGATCTTGTCATCATACTTACTTCATAGAATAAAAGAAGTTTTTAGTCCCGAGCCAAATTAAGTATCCGGTCACTTTTTATAAATGGTTTATATGTGCAGCAAGTTTAACTTATCCACTGTGTGCAAGCGATTACTAGTTCATAAACAGATTTATCTTAAGGTTAGTATATAACAAAAAGATAGACAACATAGGCACACGCGAGATAACCGTATGCTTTTCACACTACACAGCGATGACGGATAACAAAACGTAGAGACAACTGTAGTGTGCTATGAGGATACAATTAAATCTGTGGTCGGAAAATCAGATTAAGCAATTAATGTATTAATGTGAGGTACATGAAAATTGTTTATAAGTATGACATGAAATGTCAATCTTGTCTAAAAACTAAACATTCTTTCCGAATATATTTCTTTTAAAACACTTAGATTACTGCCTTTAGTTAATCTCAGTTCGTTTTCTCTACTCTTTCTAGATGTTAGTTCATAATTCAAAGCATGTTGTTATAAGTATAAATGCTAAACATAAAGTATAGATTATGTATCATGTACATTATGTATTAACTTTATGGGACTGGTTTCAACTTCACTTTGTACAATCCGCAAATGATTGACAAACGATGAACTGTGAACTGTGAACTGACCACTGAAAAATTTCAGAGCTACACTAAATATTTGCTTAAAACTATCACATAAACTTAAAAAATAATGAAAGACTGTAGTTAATCTATGACCACCAGTCAAACAAATCGCAACACCATGGGTTGTAAACATAGTGCTCGAAAAGGTGATGGGTTTGACACATGTAATTCTTAATTACAGTGGCAAAACTTAATTTTAAAGATTCGGGTAAAATAAAGGTTACTTTACCATTTAACTTTGTCTTCTCTATTGTTGTATGATTTTGTGTGATATTTCTCTTAATGATTCAGTTTGTGTAAAGTTAATTATTAGGATTACGAGTTTTAACGAAATCGATAAACTACTTAAACAGGTTTACGGATGTTTTGAGAATTTCTTATTTATCTTGATTAGGTCCTCGTTCAAGTACATCAGGGAATTTGAAATTTATTGTTAAAAGTGAAACAGAGGATGAAAGAGATGACGGAGCAAAACTGTTTAAATTTACAGAACGTGGTAACCGACGTCCTAGTTTAGGGCCTACTGTATCTTTTTCTCAGTTGTCACCAAATCATGCAGATATTGGTTTAATGGAGTCAGTTATACCCGAATCTTTACAGCATAATTGTAAAGGACAAGAAGCTGAAGACAATGATGATGAAGATGATTTACGCAGAGTCAGAGTCTTTGAAGCGAACTGTAAACGGAACATCTTGAAAAAAATGAAGCTCGATCGTGAGAAAACAATTGAGGCTGGAATACGTCAACTTAAAGCTCGGTAAGCTTTCATGAAAGAATAATTTTATTTTCATTCTAGCTACCTGGTTTTGGTGTACTTTAATGTACCAGTTGAGCCGTATTGGCTAAAATGTCTGTTGCTCTATTTCATATGATTCAAAGATTTTATTTTTGAGATATTGAAGGTTAATTAATATCCAACGAAATATACATTATTATGGGGTACCATATCAAAATGAAGTCATACTGTTGACTGAACTAAGGTTTAAAAGCAATAGGATATACTCCTTCAACAGACTATACATTTAGCTATACTGTTATTTCGGTTTTTAATCATGAGTTACAAAGGGCTGGTAAATAGTGAAAAATTGATTCCGTTTAGATGAAGTGATATAAAGATAGCTTAGATAACTTGTGATAAGATACAACTTATTCATGGTAGTAAATCAAAATTAGAAATTTGCAAAGAAAACAAGTTATTGTAAGGCCTACATCCATAAAATAAGTGAAGAATAAGTCACCTCCAAAATGCATATATCAATTCAAATTGTTAAATTCATTGTTGTTTTCGACCCAGATGTTTATGTTACGATGGTCATAACAATTGTATATGTTTCAATTTATTTTTATTGAATAATTTAGCCTTGAAGAGATGTTTAGCAGTTTAATGAGTGTTGGTGAAAAAGTTGAATCAGTGTCAAGAGACATTGAATTTTTCAGTTCAGGTAATTTTTTTTAACGATAATATTTTAGAATTATCTTACTTACTGTAAAAATTGATGCACTTTGTTTGTAGACTGTAATTATTTGAGTTGTTATGTAAGGGTTTGAGGATAGTTGGCTTTCGAAGAATTTACTGGATTGAAAGTTAAATAATTATTCATAAAATAAGACTTTCTAAGCTACTTTACTGACAAGAATGAATGCTACATGAAATAGTTTTGTGACGATCACATTTATTTAATTTTGACATAGTTTAAATAACTTGAGAACAATTTGTGTTAATCATATTTTCTGCGAACAACCGATAGCGAGAAATGTGCTTAAAAGCATTTCTCCACATAGGTAAATAGAATGAGCATCTGATCAACGAAGTTTACTTGTTTTCAATCAATTTTAATTATTCGATTTCTTGCTAAACAACTTTTTCCAGCTAGTGAAATCAAAAGTACAGAAAAGTCAACTGAATCTACCAATATAAATGTAAAGGTTGTAACAGAACCTCAGAAATTATACACTGTGAGTTTGTAGCAAGTTTCAACTAAGTGATTTTTGCCGATATGCATTTGTTATTTATACATTTTATTGTTTCCTGATAAAGTTTAAGAATATAAATCTACCTATTTTATGGTCTTAACGGTTATTTTTGTTTTAAACAAACAAATAATGGAATTATAATGGTTTTCTGTATTTATGAATCACTATTTACTGAAACTATTGTTTTCGGAGTGGATCTTCAATAATTGATCAAATATTGGATGAATTCAGTATTCTGATTACTAGTGATCAGCTTCAAGATTAATGTTTGAATGATTTTCCTAATCTTATGTGTTAAAAAGAAATCATAAATTATGTATGTGATGTATAAAAATCAATTTCGGAGTGATCGTTGGTAAGGGGTTGTAGAAATAGTTGAATTTCATTAAAATCTTGAGTTGGTTCATGATTTCTATGATATGGTAAATATTATTGTACATTTAAAATAAGTTAAAAAGATGGTTATTATTGTTTAGCTGAATATACTTTCATCTTTTGATGACTGATTGAAATTTATTTTAAAAAATAATGACTGGACAAGTTTATTATATTTGTTTGTTAATTAAATTTATTGTATATTCTTTTATCAAACTGATACATCATTTCTTGTTTTTTTCAGGAAACACCAGTTATATCAATTAACGATCAGATTTCAACTGTTTTACAACAACATCCAGTAGAAACAAGTAAATTAAATCCTGTTGAATATCCTGAAGTTGGTAGTAGTGAATCAGAAATGGAACTTATTTTTGATGTATCAGAGCCACCAGAAGTTCTTCCAGTTTCTAGTCAATTAAGAAAATCAAGTCGAATCAGTCCTTCATCAAATATTTTACTGAACGTAGAAAATAATATGAATGACAACTACATATTTTATGATAAGTTGTCTTAATCTGATATTAACTGCAGATCTGTATTAAGTGTAATGAGCACCACTCATACAGGTAAATGTGCAATGTTTGCAATCCTATTATTGATATCACCTACTAAGGGTTAATTCGTTTTTCGTGTTATGGTTGTGATTGCCGCAATCGTATTATTACGATCAGTGTTACGTCACAACTATTTTCACTTCCAACTGTTTCTGAGTTAGGAAATTGTTTTGCTTACAGTACCAAAGACTTTATCATGTGTTAAATAAATGTTCAGTTGTTAGCATCGAGATAAATTATCATTATTGCTTTTCTGAATGCTACCTTCAAATTCACTGTAATTGTATACTTCCATTAAAGTTTGTTTTAACTTGAAAGATTTTTAAAAATAAGGAATATTTCACAGAACAATTGTTTTCAACAACTAACTTCATCATGAGGCTCTACCGTTATAAGTCCATAATTATTCTGGTATTTTGCAAAGGTTAAAATAAGACATGCGCTAATGAATTTGACAATGTTATATGCATTTCTTACGACATAAATAAGTACTTCGAAATTGTTTTGTATATAAATTACAAAGTTCATCATTTAATAGAGGTCAGAATGTTTTGTAGTAAAGTTTCGAGTTACTATTGATACAACAGTAATATAATAGATCGTGTAAATGAAATGCATAGTAGGAGAACTTCGTCTTGTTAATCGAGGTAATAATATTAATAATAGTGATAATAATAACTTTGTTTGGATATAATATGTAATAAGAGAGTTGTTGTCAAAGTAATTTTATCAAAAAAGAATTCATGTGACTTGAGAAAAATGAATGTGTAAATTAAAAAAAGATATCAGCACAAAAGTGAATTGGGGGGGGTGGAAAGAGTTCTATAATATCTAGTTTAGGCAGTTACTGATTCATTTGTGGATCAAGTTAAACATAGATGCTGGATAAACCTCTTCTGGATACGTAAGTTCAGTTTTCTGGAGTTGATCCAGATATCTTCAGCTATGTAGAGGAGCCGTAATCTAGTTCCCTTAGGTAGATTGTTTGTGTGACGATGGACCACCGGTGAACTCGAGGAAGCTGTAAGAGGCTCATAAGGAGCCGAAGACGTTCCATCCAATCACCTGTCGGAAGAATGTTCTAGAATTCCAACGTGTAGCTTCCCCATTGGATAATGCTAATAACACCCTGTACGCGGATTGGAAGATTGTAATGATGATTTCGTTCCCACTAAAAACTATAAATACCTGATAATTTTGTACTATGTTTGACACTGTTTGGAATAATATTCCTTTCGTTAGTCTTCTGTCTTCTTATTGCGACTTGGAAGGGTTTGGTGTTCCAGTGCTCAGTTATACGCGGTTGTATCAAGAAAATCAGCTTTTTCAAGATATAACATCTGGCGACGGGTTATTGTATCAATATGTCATTTACCTTGGAACAATTTGAAGCCTTATTGGAACGTCAAGAAAAGTTCCAGATGCGCATGCTAGAGATGCTAACTCAGAAAATGAACCTGGATCAAAAAGAAGTTACAGATGATCCCTTCAAATCTCATGTTGACCAGATTGTTAATTCTATCCATGAATTTAATTTTGATGGTTCAGCTGGCATTACTTTTGAAACTTGGTTCAAGAAATATGAAGATTTGTTCAAGGTCGACCTCAAAAAACTTGATGACGCCGCTAAGGTCAGAATACTCTTGCGAAAACTTGGAACTGTTGAACATGAACGTTACAGTAACTTTATCCTTCCAAAGAATCCAAGAGATTTTTCTTTCGATGCAACGATTGAAATTTTGTCGCAAATCTTTGCTGAACAGTCATCCTTGTTTAATATTCGTTATCAATGTCTCAAGATGACAAAAGCAGGTGATGATGACTGGGTGAAGCATGCGGGTCTAGTAAACCGTGAATGTGAGCGCTTCAAACTATCAGCAATGACAGAAGACCAGTTTAAGTGTCTCGTATTTGTGTGCAGCCTCCAATCTCCCGAAGATGCCGATATTAGAACTAGAATTTTGAGTAAAATTGAACAATGTCCGAATATGACACTACAAGAAGTAACCGCAGAGTGCCAGAGATTGGTAAACCTAAAGCATGACACTTCGATGGTCGAAAATAATGGCCAGTTGCCATACGTTCGTGCTGTAAGCGGAAAGAACGATTCTCGCTCAAGAAAGGTATCGCACACAGATAATCAGCCTTCATCTCCATGTTGGTCTTGCGGTGGTTGGCATTATAAAAGGTTCTGCCCATATAAAGAACATTGTTGTAGCAAGTGTCATCGCAAGGGACATAAAGAAAACTGCTGCAGAAAAAGAACCCATAAACGACATTCTTTGAAACCCTACTCGAAGAAATACAGATTTAGTGCTCGAACTAACAAAATATTGGTATCACATAATCGAGCACGAATTTGCCGCCAAAGAAAGTATGTAACTTGGATATAAATAAAAAGCGTGCCCGCCTGCAACTCGACACCGCTTCTGACATCACACTTATTAGTCGGAGAACTTGGAATCTTATCGGTAAACCACAGGTGCTCCCAACGACCCAGTTAGCTCACAGCGCATCTGGAGGAAAACTAAATATTGTTGGAGAGGTTTGTTGTACAGTCTCGAAAGGAAATGCGAAAACGAATGCAACTTTATATCTTACACAGAATCCAGGACTAGATTTGCTAGGTCTAGACTTGATAGAAGCACTTCAATTAGCAAATCACCCCATTAACCACATATGCAGCGCAGTGAGAACCAGTAAACCGGTGGAAAAGGATCTGAAGAGTGTTGTATTGGAAAGACACAGTCAAGTGTTTATGGAAGAGTTGGGGGAATGCAAAAAGGTTAAAGCACTATTGATTCTTAAACCGGGAGTCACCCCCGTCTTCAGACCAAAACGTCCGGTACCTTATGCAGCGCTACCTATTGTTGAACAAGAATTAGAGCGTCTGCAAAGAAGTGGAATAATCGAACCAGTAAACTTCTCTGATTGGGCAGCTCCAATAGTGATTGTTAAAAAGCCTAATGGAAGTATCCGGTTATGTGCAGATTATTCAACTGGATTAAATGAAGCGCTTGAAGCCCATCAATACCCATTGCCGGTACCAGAGGATTTATTTGCGAAACTGAATGGGGGTAAGTATTTTGCGAAATTAGACCTATCAGACGCTTATCTACAGATTCCGGTAGCGGATGAGTGTAAGCATTACTTGACAATAAACACTCACAAGGGATTGTTCCGATATAACCGACTTCCTTTTGGAGTAAAGACCGCCCCTTCAATCTTCCAACAAGTTATGGACACTATGTTACAAGACATTCCTGGTACCGCGGCTTATCTCGATGATATATTGATCATGGGTACAGACTATGCTGATTTAGAGAATAAGGTGGATACGGTTCTCAGACGCATAGCAGATTATGGATTCAGGCTGCGTGCCGAAAAATGTGATTTTTACATGGAGCAAGTCCGGTATTTGGGATTCATAATTGATAAAAACGGGAGAAAACCTGATCCTGAAAATGTCGAAGCCATTAAGTCCATGCCTCCACCCACGGATGTGTCAACTTTACGTTCTTTCCTGGGAATGGTTAGTCATTATGGAGTTTTTCTGCCAGATCTGCATCGCCATCGTGCTCCTCTTAATTGCTTATTGAAAAAGGATACTAAATGGTTCTGGTCAACTGAATGTCAAGAAGCATTCCTAAAACTGAAGCAGCTTCTGTCATCGAACCTTCTCCTTACACACTATGATCCCGATCTTCCAATTATAGTCGCAGCCGATGCGTCGAACTACGGAATTGGAGCAGTAATTTCACATGCCTACCCTGACGGTTCTGAGAAAGCAATCGCTCACGCTGCGAGATCACTGACTATGACTGAAAGAAACTACAGTCAAATAGAGAAGGAAGCCCTCGCGATTATATTTGCTGTAAAAAAGTTCCACAAGATGTTGTTTGGTAGGCAGTTCACCTTACTTACAGACCATAAACCTTTACTGACAGTTTTTGGATCTAAAAAAGGCATCCCGGTATATACAGCAAACCGGCTACAGAGATGGGCTACCACACTGCTGGGTTATGATTTTAAGATAAAGTATCAACCAACAACGGATTTCGGACAGGCAGATGCACTCTCAAGATTGATTGGTCTGCATGAAAAACAAGAAGAAGAGGTGCTTGTAGCTGCTATAGATGTCGAGGCCGAGGTTCACAAAATATTGTCAGACGCAGTTTCCGGACTCCCGGTCACATTTGAAGCCATTAAAGAGGCCAGCAAGAAGGATAATGTATTAAAGATTGTTCGCCATTGCATACTCAATAAATGGCCTTCATCTAGATTACACGGAGAACTCTTACAATACTTTCGTCGACGAGAGTCATTAACAGTTGTCGATTCATGTATAATGTTTGGCCATCGTATCGTTATCCCCAGAAATCTTCGACACCAAGCCATTAAACAGTTCCACAGCGGGCATCCAGGGATAAGTAAAATGAAGTCACTAGCTCGTAGCTATGCTTACTGGCCGTCAATGGACCATGAGATAGAGCAAAAATGTCGCAGCTGTTGGTCTTGTCAAGAGGCTGCAAAGAACCCAACGAGAGCTGAGCCACAACCATGGCCTAAACCGGACGGGCCTTGGCAAAGAATACATGCTGATTTCGCCGGACCGATACAAGGCAGGAATTACTTAGTTGTTGTAGATGCTTTCACAAAATGGCCGGAAGTTTATGACATGCCGAATACGACTTCAGAGAGTACCATAAGAAGATTGTCAGGATTGTTTGCCTGTTTTGGGGTTCCAGAGATCTTAGTGACCGACAATGGTACTCAGTTCATGTCATCCGCCTTCAAACGCTTCTGCAACGAGAATGGCATATTGCATCTACAATCTCCTCCATACCATCCTCAGTCGAATGGCCAGGCAGAAAGATTCGTGGATACAATTAAAAGAGCTCTGGTCAAAGGGGGAGGTGAGGGTGTCCCGGAACAAGTGATTAATAAGTTCTTGATGTCTTACAGAGTTACCCCTAATCCGGCAGTACCAGAAGGAAAGTCTCCGGCCGAGTGTATGTTCGGAAGAAAAATCCGGACAGTTTTTAACAGTATGTTGCCGCCCAGAAAGACAAATAAACCCACGAATGAAAATCGTAAGGTCAATCGTAGCTTCCAGGTGGGTGAGAAGGTACTTGTCAGATCGTACCAAGGTAATAAGAAGTGGGAACCAGGTGTCATAGAACGTCGAATCGGAAATGTGTTGTACCTAGTCCGGAAAGATGTCGGGAAATGCATAAGACATATAAATCAAATGCAAAGAAATGATAGTACAGTGGTCACAGAAAACCGGCTTCCATTTCAATTGCTCGTAGATTCATCCCCGAAGAACCATCATGAGCGCAAA